AGTCCCTCCATTGATATATCATGATCGAGTACAGATTCATGGAACGTCAAAATCCTAAACTCGATCTACTACTAAATCGTCGATCAATATGTCCGAAACTTGTCATCACGAACTTGCTTTCGTATGACTAATAAAAGACTCTGGCCAAAGATTCTGATTTCCGACATTTATCGACGTTCGTCTAGGAACTCGAATCCAGATGGAGTTAGCGGTACTCCTGATCCTATATTTATGAGTCAATGGATCCCTCTTGACCATTGTTCGTTTCCGCATATGAACAACACATGATCAAATAGGCTTTATCATAGAAACATGACTAGTCTCATACTTATACATCGTATGAACCATATGCATCCGTATCGGATCCAACCATAATGTCTCAGGTCAAAGGACTACATCGTGCACTGATATAACCAAACGATAAGTCATTGACTACATGCTTTTCCAAATGATTTGTCGTTATTCGGTCACGTTCGAAAAACGGTTCACCAACCGCTAATCCATACTAATGCCCAAGTGATATGACTATCATCGTCATTCGTACTTATATCAACTCATGATATCTTTCAGAAGAATCTAGTATGCCTACTATGCAATATAGTTGCCCAAATTATATTGCTTCCATAGGGAACCTTTTGATAAATTCATTTACCGATTAAATGAATCATCTGGACAATTCATATACATACTTTATTTTAAATGCATGACTGAATAAAGGAAGCAATTTATATATATGAATTGAAGAACTCTTTCTTCTATTATTTATGATCTGAAACCGACAACACAAATGGTTTCTAGGGCATACACTAACATACACTAACAAAGGCAATGAAAGGTTTAGGGAGTTAGCCCGACCTCCGCGGTGGTCATAATTGACTTGCGGTTGCTGGGGCTTTCCCTACCTTGCACTCTTGTGGGGGTGCCCATGCGATGTGGCGTGAGACGGTTCATGATGCGACATATCGCCAAGTCGCAAAGCCACAGGTATTCTACCTGCTTCACGACCGGTATTTGCTGGTCCCTTGGAGCCCTTCGACCCATTATTTGCCACTTGCTTTCCCTTGCCTTTACGCGCTATAACGCGCGAGGCATGGGTCTTCGCTTGTTTCCGCGCTTTAGTGCGACCTACATGCGTTTTTGGCGGTGACACCGCCTTGTCGGACTCGGGTGGTACGACATGATCCAACTGTTTAACCTTTGGTTAACCATTTGGAAACTATTATTGAACCTCTCCAAGTAATCCATCACAGCTGGGTCGAGCTGTGAGCTCAAAGGAATGTCCGCTGCGATACTATGCTGAATTGAGGGCACTTCGAGAGAAGTGTCATCTTGTACCCGGAGGACCTCCTCGTTGCTGGGGCTAGCTCTCTCGGTTTCAAAACCACGGGCCATTTGCTAGCAAACATAATCGATTGATCAGAGATTCCTGATGAAAAGCGGATACTAAATCAGGCCCTCCTTCTAGCGCCAAACTGTTGATGCTTGATTTTGACACCAACTATTCGCACGTGCAATGTGCTAAGCGGACATAAAAATTACACGTGAATGGAAAAAGAAATGAATAAAAGGGAGACGATTTTTAAAGTGGTTTGGATGCTTAAAGCGAATCCTACGTCCACTATTTTTTTTATAAATGAAGGATTACAATCAGGTCGCAAGTAGCGATCGGAGAAATATAAATATAGAGAGGGAGAAAGGGTGTTTATATTATCAAAATCAAAATCCCGAAAAATGAGAAGGGAGCTCTTTATTTATAGTAAGAGGTTTCTGGGTAATGATTACGGGTCTGCCAGCGGGCAGGTGCTGTACAGTTCCTACCCTGCTTCCCATTAGCTGATTGCATGGAAGATATCCTTAAATCGCATAGGGCTTGGGTAGGTGGGTGACTCCCAGCCACTCACCAGCCAGACCTTTACCTACCAAGCTGATGATAGCCTTACTCCTTTTGTCCTTGGACAACGTGGCAGCGCCTAGGCGACATAATGTCTTCCTGAATTCTGATTGGTCCTCGTTGACGTAAGTCTGTGTCAGCCCTTATTTTTTAAGCATAACACAGTACATTCTGGAAAATGATAATAGGAGCTCAAACAATACCATTCTACTCTATAAACAAACAAAATCAATCTAAGTAAAGATGAAATGGGTCGATCTAGATTTTGAATCATGAAAAATTCAAGAGCTAAATTTACCACACAAGTAACTTATGTTATTATTTATTTATATATGAAAATAATAACTTATAAGAGACTTCCACTTGATGTCTCATTATATTAATTCAAAATAAAAACCCAGAATGCTTCGAATGCACTTAAAATAGCATGGGTTTTGTTCTCTTATATTATTATTTGAATACTTCAAAAATAAAATATCAATTTTTTTATTTAAAAATAAAAATAAATATAAAATCATGTGATTTGACTTAATTCCCTTAATTAAAAAAATATCATGATTTTCTTCTTTTATATATATATATATTGAATTTTGCTTATTGATCACCCAAAAGAAAGCGTACGATAGCATATATATCTTCCAATTTAGATTACGTATGCACTCACTTATTTTATTTTTTTTAGAATTTATTAATTTAATTATTTTTTTATATTTTATGAAATGTCATCATTTATCATTTCATTTCTTTTCTTTATTTCTTTATTTATTTTTCTTTTTTATATATCTTTCTAATTAGTAAAACACATTAAAAAAAAGTTAAAGATTAGATTTAGTTAATTGTTTTTGTTGTTTATAAGGTAATTAATTATGCAAGGTAGATTAAAATTTAATTACCAAAAATGAATTGATTGAATAATTAGAATTTTAGATTACAGGCCTTTTAAATCTTTCCAGTTAAAATTGATAATTTTTATAAAAAAAAAATTATCATTAGATTTCAAATATTGTAACAAGATATAACTTAAAATTTGTAAAAATATGTTGTAAAATTATTATGTATAAGCATAAAACTTTCATAAATGAAAATAAAAAATATATACCATCTTCCTCAAGATTGGAACTCTGCCTCTCTCGTGTCAATGCTTTAAATTTATATGAACTCATATCATACTAGACTTTATAATTAGAAACATTAAAATATATGAGATGATGCTAGACCGCTAACATAATCTTTGATGGGCAATACTACAGTCTACACATTCAATATTTTTATCCAACATTTCTCATACAGCATTATGTGGCAAAATATGATTGGTTAATTTTAAATTAAATTTAAATTTTCATTCAATCATCTTTTATCATTTAATGTTGTATGAAAATGTTGTATGTGTAGTATTATTCTTCTTTGATAGGAGAGATACGAGTTGAGTTGAATATTTTTCATAAAGAACAATCATGTCATATCAAAATCATAGCATTTTATAACTGTTTTATGTTATTTTGAAGAAAATCTCGGGTGCATTTGTTTTAGTATTTTAAATAATATTTTTAAAAAAGTAAGAGTCTGATGGTTATTACGAGGTAGGATTTGAAAATTAACAAAAACACCTCTTAGGTTTGTTAATTTATTAAACACCCCTATAATAAAATATTAAAAATTAACAAAAACACTCCACCCACCCATTAAATATCGGCAGCCGACGACCACCGCTGGAGGGTGGTCGGAGTCTCCGTATCGACACACGACCGACTGGATCTGGTCGAAAAACGCTAGATCTACGGCTAGATTTGGCCATTGACGACCAGATCTGGCCTCGTTTGGTCGTCAATGATGGTCAAAGATATGGCCGTTGTTGACGACTAGCTACGACCAAAGATCTGGCAGTAGATCTGGCCTTTTCCGGCTAGATCCACAGTGGATCTGGCCAGAAAAGGCTAGATCGGCATACTACCGGCCAGATCTAGTCGATAGTGCACCATTATACCAGATTTCGGCCAACTTCTGGCAGTGGTGGCTGGAATTTGGCAAATTTGGGTGGGTGGGGGTGTTTTTGTCAATTTTTAAATTTTTTTTAGGGGGTGTTTAATTAAATTAACAAACTTAGGGGGTTTGAAAAATTTAATAAAATATAATAGTATTTTTAGAATAGGGAAACAAACGTGTATTTTGGAAATAATAAGAATATGATGGTGCAAAAATAGGGAAACAAATGCACCCATCGATATTTTTGTCATTAAAAACGATCAACCAAAGAAAATTTCCTTATAAATTATGCAAGAATCCTTCCAAATTCTCATTGTAATCCTAGAAAGAAAAAAGTAAATAAATAAGATACTGGCATTTTAATGGGCATTTGTGAGAGTGGAGTCATGCACATTTTTTGTTTTTGTTTTAATGATTGAGGTGTCCGAGCCAGCTTGCGTCTCAACTAGTTTTTAGGATTCATTGAACATCTTATAAACTTAACATTCAAAAGTAAACCCTAAATATGATAAATGATCTCAACATGATTCGAAATGAAGGAAACAAATATTTTTAACTGTCAGACCAACCTCGTGGGGTTCGCCATGCACATTTCCTTTACTTCCACATACTTCTTTTTCTCTCGGTGCGATTTGGCTTATTGCTTCACAGTTCACACTGCTCCAGGAATGCTGACATTGGAGTTTTAACACTTATTCATCTACCTCTTGGTAGTGGAATCAACTTTTGTAATATACTATAGTCTATAAGGTCTCTGAATATGTTTTTTTTTTTTTTTTTAATGGATGCACTTCAATTTGCTGCGTTTTTTAAGTATATTTATATCAAATAACTTCTTGATCGTTTTAAGCTCCTGGATTTATTTTCATTCTGCTGTATTGAATACAATTCAAAATTTGTAAATTAATTTTTACACTCATTCTTCGAAGTTTGATTTTTTTTCCCACTATTATTGTTCAATTCCTTAGAATTTCGACCCTTTTTACTTTCTATTTTTCTACTCATTCTTTGGAGTTCGATTTTTTTTTCCTACTGTTACTGTCAATTGATAAGAAAATTGAGTTTGGTTCACAAAGAAAGTTGAGTTTTGCCAGATCATTATTAATATTAACTACTAGTCGAGTCCACCACCGTCCTTATAACCTTCCTTTTTTCTTTCTTTACAAAACTGGTCTAAACATTTTTTCAATATTTTTGGTCCACAAGAACTTCAAAAAAATAACTCATTTAGAAACACTCACTCTAATAGAATAAGAACATCAGTCAAGTACTGAATAGAGGATCTTAACTCTGCCCGGAAATCAAGTTCCACAAGGTAGAAGACCACTTCTTTTCTTGAGTTAATTTTCCTACGAAAGTTCTTCTATTCCAGTAACATGATTGAATTTGTTCCTTAACAAATAAAGCTAATGTTCATCTGCAAGACAAATATAAATCTTGATGAACCAGTAGTGGGTAACTTCGGACCAAAGTAGTTTCAATACATCACGGTTGCAAACAGAAAATCTGAATCACTCACGGGATCAAGATCTCCAATGTGTTTTTGACATGCAGAAGACTAACAGCATCACAACATCTCGGAAATCTGCAGCAGTCACCATTTCAAGTTAATCAACCAGATGAGGACTTCAAATAAAGAAAGGATCATTGCTAAAATGAATTTTGTATATTGACAGCCATGTTCATTAAAATAAAAATGTTAATGGTTTTTTCCTTGCTTTGTTCAAAAGCAACATGTTGGGTCATAATATAAGTAGTTAAATGCCATGCCACCCAACTAGCTTCCAATCTAAAGATAAAAGTATATAAAGCAAACAACAAAATTACATGTATGGGCATCTCTGCTATAATAAGGTTGCTGCTTTCTTCAATTGCTTTTAGAGTTACCACTTCACCACCCCCGACCACCATATTGATTACAATACCATCTGCATTTGGTTTGGTCAAATGGAGTTATTTTGGAATCAAAAGTGACAACAGAAAACCAACAAAAGATAACATCACCAAAGAAAGAACCTGCTGCCAAACAAGTTGCTATCCGCCTCATGTATGTTTCCTGCAAGCAAGTATCAATGGAAATGGGAAACTCGTAAGGGATTCATTGGAATGAACAATTAATTATGAAAGGAAGTCCAAACACTTTTTACTAGCCATTTATTACACAGACAATCACCAAATCAACTCTCATGTTATATAATAGACCAATCTCCAATGACCCTGAAGCAGCTCTGTCATTACAGCTCTAAAACCACCACATTAACCACATAAATATAGGGACAACTTAAAAGGTGGTGAGAGAAGTATAAACTGTAGTACTGAAGACTGCACGCTATTGTATCACACATTGATGTCTGGAGGAAGAGTGGGATTATACCTTCTTTGATGGTAATGCATAATTTATCAGAACACGAGCAGATATAGGAGATTCTCCGGAAGCAAGAAGTGGAAGGCAAGCATCTGTTACAACTATCATATGTGACTTGTACTCATCTTTTTCAATGTCAGCATCATCTCCTGAAGGCTCAGTTACTTTTTGGCTCCAAACTGTTGTAACTTGCCGAAATTTCTCCAATATTGAAGCTCGGTCTACTTCAACTTGGTCACTGTACTGGTATACAAGCAACATTATGCTTACTTTTTTTAGCAACTATTCTTCTTAATAAACAGCAATAAAACTTCCAAATCACACACTCTAAAAATCAGTGCACGCACTAACAAGTTAACAAAGTATCAAAAGTAGCTACTCTGGGAAATCAACTACAGCTTATGTCAAAACCAAAAACCTTAAACAGGAGAAATAGAAAAATAAAAGAATCTCTAACTCATGCCGTTGAAAAATAAAGAAAGAAAGAAAGAAAACCAAAATTGTAGCATGAACTTTCTGATTCATAAAGAATTTACAATTAAGTGACCTATGCCTCACCACCCACCAACAGAAAAGGTCATTCACCCAATAATTAAACTTAATAAAACAAGAAAATCATATTAGCATTTGTTCTTTAAGGCACAAACATAAGTTAATACTTTGGTAGATGTATCGAGCTAAATAATGAAGATCACTGCATTAACAGACAATATGAACTCTACTCTGAAAAAGAAAATTCATCAGAATAGATAAAAATTGTCATATGCACAAACAATCAATGAAGAGAATCACAAAAACAAGAGGATAAAAAAAAAACCCACTCTAAAGTCCCAAAACACTTGATTTTCAACCAATCTAACAACCTGGTGTGTACTGCTTACAATTATATGACTTATAAGCTATCCTATTTCAACCTTCACATCCAAAACAGTGTTTAAAAACTAGTATTAAAGTTAAATACATTCTGGTCAAATTAAAAAAAATATAAGTTTCTATTTTTTAATGATTTTAAGACTATATTCAGAAACTGTTCGAAGTCCAACATGGGTACCCTTCGATTTAATAGTCCTAATACTCGAAAACAAAGAAACATTTGACAATTATAAATCAAACGGATCCTCAACCACTCTATCCTTTCTCTGAGTTGATTCCAATACTATTGAACTGTAATTGAAGTGTTTAAAAAAATAAATAAAAAAAATTAAGTTTAAGCCATAAAATTATTTACCAGAGAGGAGAAGGAAATGTAAGGGAGATTGGAAACGGCACAGCAAACCGCGTCAAGCTCGTCACGTGAGCTGCAACAGACTACCATCGGCAAGCACTTGCGCGTCCCAGCCAAGCCTAACAGATCCACCAGCGTCTCCTATAATAATTACAAGTTTTAAAATAAAATAATTGAATTAAATGTATATTTCTTAAAAGAAAGTTTTGAGCAAAGAAATTGGATGACCATCTTGAACTGGAGCCTGTCCACGGCAACATAGAAGTGACGAGGTTGACTGGAACGACAACGAATTAAGATTATTACGGTGAAATTAAAAAGAGAGAGAGAGAAGAGAGATTTGTAATACTATTACCTGAAATGTGAAGAGGACTGAGAGGGAGAAGAGGGAGCTTCGATTCCATCTATCGCCATAACCCGAGAGACTCGAGTCGGTTGCTCTGCTTTCAAGGTACTCACTTTGTTAACGAAGCCGCGACTCTTTTTATTATTATTTTTGTTTTTTAACGATAATTTGACGGAATTAGATCAATTATGTTTTTTTTTTAAGTTTATTTTATATGCATTTTAATTAATCTTTTAAGACTTAGAATTATCGGTCAAATAAAAATTTTAGTAATTATTCTTATTAATATTAGGGAAACTTGAACATAAAAACCTCTTAAATAATATATTTAAAAGTTCTTATCGAACTATTTAACCACCCAAAAATAATAATACATCTAACAGTATACACTAGTCTAAGTCTAGATAAGAGGTGAAAGCAAAATGACTCAAATGAGAAAATAATTTAAGATGTTGTGGTGAATGGTGGGGGAGGCATGAGGCCTATCCCATGGGTGTTCAACAAGAGAATAAATGAGGAAGAAAAATTTTACGGTGATCTTTTTTTATTTGATTCTACGGTGATTATATATAATTATGTAAATACAATATAAGACAATTTCATTGAATTATATTTAGTTTATAAATATTAAAAAAAAATTATTTGATATGTAAAAGCTAAAAAACCATATATAAAAACGAAAAATGGTATTTTACAGTTTTTTCTAATAATTGGTTTACCAGGCCAACCAATGGAAAATAATAAAGACACCGAGAGTAGTGCATCGAATCTGTGCAGTGAATGACGTGGCGCAATCCTGACCGTTTATTAATTATAACTTAATATTAATCGACGGTTAGGATTGTGTCACGTCATTCGATACACATATTCGGTGCACTACTCCCGGTGACTGTAGCATTACTCGCCAACCAATTCTTCCTCCTTTATTGCATCTTTTATTGTTAAAAAAAATTAAAATAAAATGTAAACAAAATGAGTTCTAATAACGCCGTTGTCACAAGCGAATTGATAATGATGGTTAGTGGCGTTTGGTTGGGGGTAATGTAGGATTACTAGAGTTATGTCATATTATATTTACTTGATTACTGCATTTGGTTGTCAAGTAATATAAGATTCTGATAATCTTCAAATACCAATAATAGTCACTGTTAGTAATATTGAAAGTAATCTGATTACCTCAATTGTCTTAGGTATTCTAATATTATCAGGGTAATTTTTTTTCCCTTATTAGTAAATTTTTAGGACAATAATGCCCTTTTTTTTAAAATTTATTTACATGAATATGACTTTTACTGTTTCACCCCAATTAATTAACTTTTTGGACAAAATTACCCTTGAATTAAAAACAAATTGCAGCCCACCCAAGCCACCATCCCCACCCATCGGCAACCACTGCCGCAATCGAAACGATGCATGGAAGGCCGAAAATGGCCACCATACGCCGATATGACCATTTCTTGCCAGATCGATGGCCGTTGACGACTAGATCTGTCATCGATCTAGCTGTTGATGGCCAGATCTATCATCTATCTGGTCGTTGATGGCCAGATCCGTCAATCTGGTCGTCAACAACCAGATTTGTCAAGTCTGGTCATTTCTTGCCTTCCAGCTGCCAGTGGCCTAAGGTGGTTGCTGGCAATGGCTGGATTGGCGGGGGGGCTTTGTTGATTTTCTAAACTTTTATTATGAGATTGTTTTTGCTAAGTTTTTAAATGTAGAGGATTATAATAATACAAAAAATAATCAATATCAAAAAATAATATAATAATAATATTTAATTAGAGGACAATTCAGTAATTTAAATAATATATCCACCAATTTATTCATTCCAACCAAACATATTAATATAACATATCCATCAATTAACCAAACACATTTTCCTAAAGATTTTCAGTAATCTTCAAGGTAATCTAACTTTCCAGTAATCCAATATTTCCTGAACCAAACGGCCCTTCAGGGTTCTTTTGATATAAAGATTCGACTCAAATGATAATTTTCATTAAATATCTGTCAAATGTTTGGGTGTTATTGTAACTTCCCCAAACATATGGGCTGAAAATATTTACAAAACCTCGAGGGAGCGGAAAAATAAATCTTTTAAGAAAATTTATGAAGTGGTTTGTTACTTGTGGTAATTGGTCTAAACAAAAGATTGGTTCGTTGTAACTCAAAATTACGTGGCCTCAGAACTTACCTTCTGTACTTGGTTAAAACTGACGTAAGTGTACACTTCTATGAAAAGTTTGAAGTACATGTACTGTATTAAGTAACTTCACTTGAGTCAGTGGGTTACATTAGAAAAACAAAAAGCTAACTTGGGATAAAACAAGATATACAAAACTAAAGGGGCAAAAACAGGAAGATATCAAAACCATTTCTTATTTTCTTCGTGCTTCTCTTCTACTCTCAGCTTCAATTTTTTTTTTTTTCTGCGTCTCTCTGTTTCTCCTCTCCGGTTACAGTACTGTGTCTCATTTCTCTATTAACCTTCTATAATCATCGCGGCGCTCTTTAGCTTGCCGCACTCTATCATACTCCCCGGAGGTACGCCCCTTAACCTATGCGTTCGACTTTCCTCCATTTTTGTTATAAATTATCCATATTGAAACCCTAATCGAGTTAATAAAAAATCTAATATAATTTCATTGTTTTCAACAAAAAGAAGAATCTGAAATTGATTATAGGTAATTTATTTTGTTTTATTTCACTTGATCAGGTAAGGAGAGAACTTAGGGTTCGGTGTTTAATCTGATCCGTAAAAAGAAGAGAGATCAATTTCTAAGGTTATATTTTGGTATTTGTTTTAGTTATTTGATGCGTTGGCGGGGATTGGAATCCGCCAAACGGGATACATATTTGGGTCAGAACGTGAGATGGCCAATCCCGGGGTCGGGACAAAGTTTTTGTCTGTGAATCTGAACAAATCTTATGGGCAATCACATCATCAGCATCAGAATAATCTTCACAACTTATCTCATTCGGGCCATCATGGGTCCAATAGGGGCCGCCCTGGTGGTGGTGCTGGTGGAGGAGGAATGGTGGTCTTGTCACGGCCCCGAAGTTCCCAGAAGGCGGCTGGGCCTAAGCTTTCCGTTCCACCCCCCTTGAATCTGCCCTCGTTACGGAAAGAGCATGAGAGATTTGATTCGTTGGGATCCAGTGGTGTGTCTGCTGGGGGAGGGGTTTCAGGTGGTGGGCAGAGACCTGGTTCCTCCGGCATGGGTTGGACTAAGCCGGGTACACAAGTTGCTTTGCAAGAGAAGGGAGGAGTTGTTAGTGGTGATCGTATGACAGATGATGGTGTTGATCAGGGTTTGCATGGTGTTGATGGAGTGAGTAAGGGGAGTGGTGGTGGTGGTGCCTATATGCCGCCTTCTGTGCGGTCTGGTCCTGTCAGGCCTCCATCTTCTACCTTTCCGCATGTAGAGAAGGTGAGTGTATTAAGGGGTGAAGATTTTCCATCTTTGCGGGCTGCATTGCCATCTCTGTCTGGCTCTGAAAAGAAACATAGAGACGGTTTGAATCAGAAACAGAAGCATGCTATGGGTGAGGAGTATGGTAATAGTGACCGAAGCGATAGTTCTAGATTGAACTCCCTTGTTGACTTGCATCCTCGGTCACAGTCAGGTGGTTTTGGTAATGGATTGAGTGAGAATGGTGGTAGAAATCGTGATTTGGGTGGTTCTCGTGGATCAGAGCAAGTACGAAAGCAGGATGAATACTTTCCAGGTCCATTGCCATTGGTTAGGTTGAACCCAAGATCTGATTGGGCTGATGATGAGCGTGATACGGGTCATGGTTTTGCAGTCCGGGACAGAGATCATGGGTTTTCAAAGAGTGAAGCTTACTGGGATAGAGATTTTGATATGCCAAGGCCAAGTGTTTTACCACACAAGCCAGCTCATAATGTTTTTGACAGGTGGGCACAGCGTGACAATGAAACTGGAAAGGTTTCTTCCAGTGAAGTCACTAAAGTAGACCCTTTTGGCAGAGATGCAAGAACACCTAGCAGAGAGGGACGGGAAGGGAACTTGTGGAGAGCTTCTTCTCCTCTTCAAAAAGATGGATTTGGTGCACAAGAGATAGGAAATGACAGAAATAGTTTTGGTGCAAGGCCATATAGTCAGAACAGAGAAGCAAACAAGGAGAATAAATTCGTTTCTTCGTCGTTTCGAGACATCCCGCCTGATGATTTTGGTAAAAGGGATTTGGGGTATGGACAGGCTGGGAGGCAGCCTCGGAACAACATGGGGAACTCACCTTACCGTCAGAGGGCTGAAAGGAATCCATGGGAGCGATATGGCAATGAACAATACAATAGATTCAGGGGTGATGTTTCCCAGAATAATTCGGCATCAAAATCATCATTTTCCTCAGGTGGCAGAGGGCTTCCAGTTAATGATCCCATTCTCAATTTTGGTAGGGACAAACGTCCAGTAATGAAGAGTGAAAAACCTTACCTGGAGGACCCTTTCATGAAGGACTTTGGGGCTTCTGGTTTTGATGTACGTGATCCTTTTTCTGGGGGTCTTGTTGGGGTTGTTAAAAAGAAGAAAGATCTTAAGCAGACTGATTTTCATGACCCTGTCCGCGAATCTTTTGAGGCTGAGCTTGAGAGAGTCCAAAAGATGCAGGAGCAGGAGCGGCTGCAGATTATTGAGGAACATGAAAGAGCTTTGGAGCTAGCTCGCAGAGAAGAAGAAGAGAGGCTAAGAGTGGCTAGGGAACAAGAAGAACATCGGAGAAGGTTAGAAGAAGAAGCCAGAGAAGCTGCATGGAGAGCTGAACAAGAGCGACTGGATGCCATGCGCAAGGCCGAAGAACAGAGGATAGCTAGAGAGGAGGAGAAACAGAGGATTGTCATGGAGGAGGAGAGGAGGAAACAGGCTGCTAAGCAGAAACTCTTAGAATTGGAAGAAAGAATGGCCAAGAGGCAGGTTGTAGCAATTAAGGGTGGTAGTAATTCTTCCATTGTTGCAGAAGAGAAATTTTCAGGAATGCCTAAAGAAAGAGATATTTCCAAAGTGACAGATTTGGCTGAGTGGGAAGATGGTGAAGGAATGGTGGAGAGGATTACAACTTCAGCATCTTCTGATTCCTCTGGTCTGAATAGAGCCTTTGACATGAACTGTAGGCCTCACTTTGCCAGAGATAATTCTCCTGCCATTATGGAAAGAGGCAAGCCTATTAACTCATGGAGAAGGGATGCATTTGAGAATGGGAACAGCTCAGCCTTCTTTCCACAGGACTCGGATAATGCTCATTATAGCCCCAGGCGAGATGCAACTGTTGGCGGGAAAACATTTCCTCGGAAAGAGTATTTTGGAGGACCTGGTTTTATGTCATCAAGGACTTATTATAAAGCGGGGATTCAAGAGCCGCGCACAGATGAAATTAATCATCCAAGAGGTCAGAGATGGAATATATCTGGGGACGGTGATCACTATGCCAGAAATGCTGAGGTTGAATCTGACTTTCATGAGAATCAGTCTGAGAGATACAGTGATGTTGGATGGGGCCATAGTCGGTATCGTGGCAATCCTTATCCTTCATACCCTGAAAGACTATATCAAAATCCCGAAACAGATGGGCTTTCTTCCTTTGGGAGGTCAAGGTATTCCATGAGGCACCCTCGTGTACTTCCCCCTCCATCTCTGAGTGCGATGCAAAAAACTTCCTATAGACGTGAGAATGAGCGACCTGGCCCTTCAACTTTTCAAGAAAATGAGATGGAGTACAATCATGCAGCAAGAAGTGAAACAACTGGGAAGATAGGTTTTGACAGCAGCAATCAGCATAATCTTGTACAACCTGAAATAATTGATGTCCAGCAGGATAATGCTGCTAGTCTGGAACAGAATCTGGATACGGATACCACACCAAGATGTGATTCACAGTCCTCACTCTCTGTCTCTAGCCCTCCTGATTCCCCAGTTCATCTATCTCATGATGACTTGGATGAATCTGGAGATTCTCTGGCATTATCTGCCGATGAGGATAAAGATATCTCATCAGGACAAGGCAACGATCCTGTTGTGTTGCCCATGGAATCCGAGAAAGAGAATATGATGACTCACTCTAGTTCTGTCTCGGTTGGTGATGATGAAGAATGGACAGTTGAGAATGATGAACGATTGCAGGAGCAAGAAGAATATGATGAGGATGAAGATGGATATGAGGAAGAAGACGAAATTCATGAAGGAGATGATGAGAATATTAACTTGACAGAGGAATTTGAAGATATGCATTTGGTGGAGAAAAGCTCTCCCGACATGGTGAACAACTTGGTCTTAGGCTTCAATGAGGGTGTTGAGGTTGCAATGCCCAATGACGAGTTTGAAAGAAGTCCCCTAAATGAAGAATCATCATTTCCAGTACCACAGGTTTCTGTTGGTACTGTTGTTGAAGACCAGGGATGTTTTGATGGTGTGTGTGGAACACTACAATCTGCCAATGTTCCTTCCCAAGCAACTACTGGTGGTTCTTCTAGAATCTTCCAGGAGGCTGAGAATGCAATGCACGATTTGGTTATTCAGCCCAGTAGTACACAATTATCAGCAGCTTCTGAGCTACTGGTTCATGCGGATGCTAACAGTGGTTCTGTTGTGTCTAATCAGCAGCCAATACCGTCTTCTATTGATATGACATCACATTCATCATCAGATCAGACCGTCACGTCTGCAACTTCTGCTGGTCCAAGTCAGGCAGAGGCACCTGTTAAGCTGCAGTTTGGGCTGTTTTCAGGGCCTTCTTTGATACCTTCTCCTATTCCAGCCATACAGATTGGTTCTATACAGATGCCTCTTCTGCATCCCCAAGTGGGTCCATCCCTTGCCCATATGCACCCCTCACAATCTCCTCTCTTCCAGTTTGGACAGTTGAGATATTCTTCACCTATTTCCCAGGGAGTACTTCCTTTGGCAGCTCAATCAGTGCCTATTGTTCAATCTAATATATCAGCCAACTTTTCATTGAATCAAAATGCAGCAGTTTCACAGCCTATTCAACCTAGTCCAGAAATTTCTCAGAATTTGATGAAAAGTGATGCATCGTCTCTTTCGATGGATAACCAATTAGGCCTTGCTCAAAGGCATTTGGATCTTTCTGAAGGGAATGCATTAAATGAGGTAACTTCATTGCCAGCAAGTGAAAGTGCAGTAACTACTTTTATGGCACAGCAGGGTCGTGCAGAGGTTTTCCCCCTTGGTGATAAGAAAACAAGGTCTGATTCAGGTCTTCAAGTAGAGGACCAGGGTCACCATATTTCAGTCATGAGAAACTTCAAATCCTTGTCCAAAGAATCAGAAAACCTGCTTCAGGCTAGAGCAGCATCTTCTGTGTCAAGTTCAAAAGAAAAAACGTTGAATGTGTCAAAAGCTCAAGGTCTAATATCTGGTGGCAGAAGTAAAAGATATGTTGTTTCAGTTAGAAATAATTCTGGCTCAAAGTCATCTTTTGTTGCTCCTGAAACTTCTCGCTCAGATTCTGGTGGATTTCAGAGGAGGCCTCGGCGCCAGCGAACTGAGTTTCGAGTTCGGGAAAATATTGATAAGCGGCTATCTGCTGGTGTTGTTTCAGCTAACCAAATAACTCTAGATGATAAATCAAATATCAATGGAAGGGGTACTGGATTTTCTAACCGAAGTGGGTATAGGAGAGTCGTTGTGTCAAATAAATCGATGAAACAGATGAATGAATCAGAATCCCTGGATTTAGGTGTAATAAGTTCACGGGAAATAGACTCTGGAAGCAAGGCTGGAAAGGGAGTAGGAAGAGAATCATTGACTAAGAGTCAGAACATCCCACATCCTGAAGAGGGAAACCTTAAAAGGACCTTTCGCTCTAAAGAGGATGTTGATACTCCCTTACAAAGTGGCGTCGTGCGTGTTTTTGAGCAACCTGGCATAGAAGCCCCTAGTGACGAAGATGACTTTATTGAGGTGAGGTCGAAGAGGCAAATGCTGAATGATCGGCGTGAACAGAGAGAAAAAGAGATCAAGGCAAAGTCTCGGTTCACAAAGGTTTTGATGCTATGTTTCAATTTGTTTTTATGTCTTGCCCTAAAATGAGAAATATTTTAAAAGTAAGAAACTAAGCAATAAGGTTTTGAATGTGTTTTATTGTTTATGCCAGATGCCAAGGAAATCTCGTTCAACTTCGCAAAATTCTCTTGTCTCAGCAAGTTCAAACAAATTTTCTGCATCAATGAGTGAAGCAGCAAATGATGTTCGCTCTGATTTTGTTGCCACTGACGGACGGAATTCGGCACATATGGAAGTGTCTACAGGATTTGGTGCCTCCAAAGTGTCGCAACCCTTGGCTCCAATTGGCACTCCAGCTCTGAAAACAGATGTCCAGGCTGATAAAAGACCCCAGACAATCAAGTATATATGCTCTCAAAGAAATTTCATACTGCCAAAAAATAAACACATTCAGTTGTGTCAATCTCATATGTTTTTTCCACAGGTCTCTCCAAAAGAGCCCCGTTCCAGTCTTATCTGGTGGTGAAAAGAATCTTGCATCAGGCTTCATATTTGACAGCAAGAATAAAGTTCTTGATAATGTTCAAACACCTATGGGTTCGTGGGGCAATTCTCGGCTTAATCAACAGGTTTGCAAACTGTTGATACATATTTCTTGATTACGATAGCTGTTAGTTGTTGACATATTGGGATGTATTCCTAAAAAAATGCTGCCCATATTTTTGGCCCCTTGCTTTTACCTCAGAATCTCAATCTTTCATTGTTTTTTTTTCATTAAAGTCTCAGCATGTGTTTAATTTGCATGCGTGTATATGCTCAGCAGTCTCTTTCTCTGACAGAAAATGTTAGCTCAGATGGTTCAATTTGTTTTATTTAGGATCAGCAATTGCTAAAGTTGAACATATGTTAGAATGTAGACATGTCAGCATGTACGAAGTGTATTTTTTTTTTTTTTTTAAGCCTTGTGTTACCAATATGTCCTCTAGTTCAGTGAAGTTTGACCTGCCACTTGTCATCTTTGGTGCTTTTGTCCTGTGTATTTATTTTACACTGTATCCTGGTCTTTTCTTTCTGTATGTTCTGATGCACAGCCAAAGTATTTTTCCTTTTTAATAATTTTCCTCCTACCATCAAGATTTACAATGTATATATGTATGGTCGAGCTATTGTAACTTAAATTTTTTATTTATTGAGACACTGATTTATAGCTATGATAAATCACAATGACGTGGCACGTAAAATAACTACTTGTAACTTCCATTACCAACCGTTAAATTGTTTTAAATCAAAGACTTAAGTTGATATAGTTTGACACTCTGACCATATATGGATAGAGAGAGAGCCATTCTAGTCAGGACGTCTTGATATTAATTTCATCAGGACCATAGTCTTGTAGTGAATGACATATTTTCCCACTTATGGGCTGAATTATTATTATATTTTGTGGGCGGGTAAATTTACTTATGATGGTTCATATGTTAAGTAGCTACTGAGAAATGTTTGAAAATCTTAACCTGATTCAAGTTTCTGGTAGGTAATGGCCCCCACGCAGAACCAGCTAGATGAGGTCTGAATCCTGGGCAATTTGTTCTCGTGTTTCCAGTAAAGATCATACTACTCAGTTGGTGAGCCAGCATGCCATCATCAGCTATCTTGACAAAAGACAAGTCATTTTCTTCCACGCAAGCCCAATAAACTCTTTGCTTGCTGGGGAGAAAATTCAATTTGGTGGGCTTTTCTTTTGTGAGTCTTTTAGCTTTCTAGAAATGTCTTTCTCTCTTTCTTAAAGTTCATCTTCCTCTTGCACAGGTGCTGTGACATCTCCCCAGTTCTCCCACCTAGCACTCGTGCCGTTTCTCATGGAATAGGCCTCCTGGTCCATGCCGCTCAGAAATAAATCGCCCATAATATTTCTGCAGCTAAGAGTGATTGCACTCTTTCTTTGACAAAGAGAAACACTCAATGAAAATTGTGTCAATCTGGAAGATTGTGAAGCTGAAGCTGCTGCCTCTGCCATTGCTGTTGCTGCTATAAGTAGTGAGAGATATGGGAATGGACTGGGAACTTGCTCTGCCTCTGTATCAGAGACCAAAAGTTTTGGAGGTGCAGAAATTGATGGTATAACAGCTGGTAGTAATATATTTTTGCTACCACAGTGGTTAGCCTTGCACCATATATTTTTGGTGTTAATTTTTTTTCCAATCTATTGACCTGACACGTCTATCTCTCTTAGCAGGTGATCAGCAATCAGTGAGTCAATCTAGAGCTGAAGAGTTCACTGTAGCTTGCCAGCAGATTTGTCTGTTGAGACCCCGCCAATTTCCCTGTGGCCACCTTTACCGAGCCCACCAATTCTTCTAGCCAGATGATCTCACATTTCCCTGGAGGCCCAGCATCTCATTTTCCTTTCTATGAGATGAATCCCATGTTGGGGGGTCGATTTTCACTTTTGGACCTCATGATGAATCTGTCCCTGCTAATCACAGACCCAGAAGAGTAGTATTCCAAGTTCAACTCCTTGGGACCTGGCAACAATGTCATTCTGGTGTAGATCATTCTATGGTGCTCCCACAGGATTGCTGGCCCTTTCATCAGCCGACTGGGGGTATACCAGGGGTTCAAGGCCCACCACACATGGTTTTCTACAACCATTTTGCACAGTGGGACAGTTTGGACAAGTTGGTTTGAGTTTATGGGTGCCACCTATATCCGTCTGCAAAGCAACGATTGGAAGCGTCATCCTGTATCTTCTGCTTGGGTGTTGGTGAAGGAGAGGTGAACGATTTGAACATGGTCTGCCCAACGCAACCTACCAGTTTAACTGCTCCAATCCAGCATCTTGCCCCTGGGTCACCTCTCATGCCTATGGCTTCTACTTGGCGATGTTTGATGTTTCCCCGTTTCAGGTAGAGATTTTCTAAAACGGAAAGCATTTGACTTCTAAATGATGTTTCTCTCCTTCCCCTCTTCTGTAGGTTTTTTGTTACTGAATTATGTTTTGAAAAAAAAAATCCATTGGTTTTATGCCAATGAAACGGGTAGGGAGTTTTTGTTCGGAATTATTCTGAAGCTCGGGACCACAGAATAAGCATATCTTGCTGTTGATTAGAGTAATTTACTGCCACATTTTTTTGCTAACACTTGGTTGAATATTTTGTGTCCAGTCCTCTTAGATATGTCGGTCCAAGGTCAGTGGTCGAATGTTACTGCAGCTTCATCAGCCCGTTTCATATCAATGCCATTGCAACACAGCCAGAGGTGTACTTCCTCACAATATAACCATGGACTCCTGTTGACCAGTCATTGCCAATATGTTTCTGAGTCCCGAACATCAACACCTCTGAGAGCAGCCGGAATATCATGCAGCTAGTGATGTAACGTCACCCAGTTGCCTGATGAACTGGGGTAGTTGACTCATCAAACACTACTGGTCCTGGGACTTCGACACAGAATGTTGTTGCTAAGAGCTTGTCTTAAGCACCATCACAGATGCTGGCAAGATGTGTTGTTCAGAAGCGGCAGCAGCAGCAGCAGTGAGAGTGTGGCCAAAACAATATTGCTACTTTTAGCCTCAGTCTTCGCAGCAAAAGAATAAATTTCCCCGCAGTACAGAATTCTTCAGGGTACAGTTATCAAAGAGGAAGTGTATTTCACAAAAGAATAGTTCTGGAGGCGAAGGTCACCGAAGAAGGGGGTTCCATGGGCGGAACCAGCCCTTCAGTGCAAGAAAGGGTTTGCCCCCTCAAAGAGAAGCGATATGTGGCTAAACAGACCACGAGTGGGACATCAGCACCATCATGAGCATGAGAGATGATCTTTTGGATTGAGAAAAGAGCGCCAGAAAGAAGGGTGATTTTTGGGATGAGCGTTTTCTTTACATTTGGCATGATTCATTGCGTAAATATGGAATGTCAAGTTGTGTGATTTGAGCGCCAATATAATTAAAGCTCTAGCTGGTTTGTAATGTAAGTTTGCAAAACTGGTCGATATAGCAGTTTTGAGTCTTTTGACGAAGTGAGGGAGGAATGGATTCTAGTGTGGTAGTTGGTCTATCGATTCCTTTATTTGTCCTTTCTAGGCTGCAAACCTGATTGTTTATCTCTTGGTATTTGATGTATTAAAATTATTTATGATCCTGCTGATTTTTTTTTTTTTTATTTTCCTGGCAGTAATGATAAATGTGAGCTTTGGGGAACGCTTACTCGACTCTGTCTTTCATCACTTTTATTGTAGATTTCATTTACTAGATGTTTCAGTGGATTAGAACCGATTCAGATGATTCTCCTCCGTTTCATTTCCTACTACCACCATGGAGTTAGATGTAGGCTGGTTGATTACCAATACCAAACACACAAACTCAGTGCAATTATTAACAAAACATATTAAGCGTAGGTAGCTTGATTTTGCATACCTGAACCCTATCAAATTATGTAAAAACAGTAGCAATATTAACAAATGTGAGCTTGGGAAATGCCATGATGTAACCACTGAATCACTTTAGCCGACTCTGAGCCTGAGTCCCATCAACTACTGCTTTACTGGATTTTGGTTTTTCGGGAACCCTTCATTATCTGCTTCATTACTTGCTTTGTGGGGTTTGACTGGACACACCTGAGGTTATAATATATATATTAAGATTTGATTTGAAGGATTAGTGGAGTTTGTTTAATACTGATTTGGGACTTTGATAACAATTGGAGAAGTGGAAAGATGGAGTTTTGATTTTAAACAAATTGATGGGGCGAGTTTACCTTAACAAAATTAAAAACACAATTGTGGCCTTTATAATTAAATAATATCAAAAGAGACCCTTTTATTGGAATTTGCAAGGGCAATTTGATACATTTACATAACTCAACATCCAAGGAGATCGAAATAGGTATTTAATCTAAAAATGTATTAAATAATATCATAATCCAAAATGTTAAATTATGGTATTGCCCTGGCCACCCGAAGAAATTAATTTTAGAAGGGACAAATTCAAAATAAAAATATAAAATAGAGGGAAAATAGAGGAGTGGTCAAATCTAGGAACACTAGAACAAAATACAAATTGGTTAAAGCAAAAAACCAAACAAAATTAATAAAAAAGGGGTAATTAATAAGACTGAACCTACATAAATTTCATTCAAGACCATTAGGTTAAATCTAAACCTCAAACCCTAAAAGGTAAAATTTCCAATTCTATAATAATAATTAGAATTATAGAAAGACTATTTTATCATCCAAAACCAAAATTTCGGAGTTTTACAGCACTTGTGTATCCAATAATAGATTTTGCATCTTGATTTGAGTTTGAGCCTTTTACGGATTGTGGTTACCCATTTGGGCTTGATTGGGCTTACCCATGTTAAGCCTTCCTCTTCCCAACATGGGCTCTTATATTTGGGCCTCATTATCCTATTCTCATCTCACACGGTCACTATACGACAAAAATTATGCGATAATGATATTTTGTTATAATCTAAAAAAACAAATGCTTTAATAATAAACCCTTTTAATTTTGGATTTAATGTACATTATTCTTATTAATCTTGACTTTTTGGAGTGTTAAATCAGGCTACAACAATATTAAAAAACAATAGTAATCAAATGAGGGAAAAGTATATGAAATTAGTAGTACATTGAA